TCCTTCCCACAATTGCATCCATTTTAATTAACTCTTTTCTCACTCTTATTAAGGATTCAGTTTTCTTTCAAGCTAAAACCCGACTGCTATAAAAGCCTCCGAGTTCGTAGAGTAAGATTTTCTTGATTCTTTTACTTCTATTCTTCAGGATTACAGAAGTTCCTTCTGAGCAGTATCCGTTTCTATAAAAAATTCTAGAATTCCTCTGTTAAGTTGAACGCCTTTTCAGACGCCTCGGAGGGTTATCAGGAATCGAATAGGAAGCAAGGTTAGAGACAAGAGGGTTGGGATGGTTATGAAGTTTATTATGGAAGGACAGATATCTGGATTGGGCCAAATCTGATACATAAGGAACATTAAGGTCATTATGGATAATTTTATTTGTAACAAAGTAAGGAGCATTGAGGATTTTACGAAGGATTTTGGATTGCAAGGACTGTATGCGAGAGGAATTTGAAGGCTTGGTGGAGCCCCATAGCTCAACCCCGTAAGTCCAAATAGGCCTTATTATAGTCATGTAAATCAGTCTTTTATAATTGATTGGAAGGTTAGAGCGTTTGTCTAGTAAGTGTTGAAGTAGTCGGAAACGTCGAGCGGTTTCTTGTCGTTTCAGTCTGGTATGAGGATTCCAAGTTAGACGTTTGTCCAGATGGAGTCCTAGGTAACGGATTTGTTCAACAGGAATAAGTGAGGTGTTGTTAAAGGATACTGAAGGACAGGAAGTCATTGGTTTACGACGAAGGGTGAAGATAATTTGATGGGATTTATTGGAATTTATTTTAATTCTCCATTTCTGACACCATTCTTCCAGGTTTGTGATGTGGGATTGAAGGGTTTGGGATGCAATAGATGGGTCATTATTGACTGATAGGATACATGTGTCATCAGCATATGTGGTGATGACAGTGTTGGTATGGGTTGGGATGTCAGCTGTATAAACTGTGTAAAGGATAGGACCTAGGATACTACCTTGAGGAACACCTGCAGACTGGGAAAAACGGGATGTATATACATTGTTGTGATTTACTTTAAAGTATCTATCAGTAAGGTAGGAACGGATAATGAGGAAGTAGGTAGATGGTAGGAATTTTCGGAGTTTGTACAACAGTCCCGGGTGCCAAACTCTATCAAACGCCTGTTCAACATCGAGAAAGGCTCCCGTACAGTACATACAGCGCTCCAATGCAGAGGATACTACGTCTACCACACGATGGCATTGCTGTATAGTGGAATGGGAGGAGCGGAATCCAAATTGGTGATCTGGGATTATGTGATTAGAATCTAGGATTGGGTACAGGCGTTTTAAGATTAGTTTTTCCAGGATTTTTCCCATGATGGGTAACAGAGAGATGGGACGGTAAGAGGATGGATATTCTGGTGGCTTTTTGGGTTTGTGGATCATTTTGACAATAGATATTTTCCAAGGATCAGGGAAATATGTTGATCGGAGTACAGCATTATATATGAAAGTAAGGAATAGGATGGCTTTTCGAGGAAGAAGTTTCAAGATCTGTGATGTTATTAGGTCATGTCCAGGAGCTTTGTAGGAGGGTAGTCTTTGAATGATGTTGGATATTTCTGTGGGATGGAATGCTTTAGGTGGTAGGGACATTTGGAGAGGAGTATCCAGTTCTGATTCAATACATTCGATGTGGGTTGGATTAAGGATATCAGGATGTGGGTTGAAAATTTGGAACAGATGTTGACCGAATAACTGGGCTTTTTCTTCGTCGGATTTGGACCAGGTTTGGGATTCAGTAAGAAGTGGGTGATTAAAATCTTTAAACTTCAGAAGTTTTTTGGTCGTAGTCCATAGTGATTTGTCAGTTGTTGTAATATTTCCAGTTAGGTTCAGTAATTGTTGAGTTTTATATTTTCTGATTTCTGATTTTAGTTTGTTAGTCAATTCGGTATAGTACGTTTTGTCTGAAGGATATCTAGTCCTGTGCCACTTCGATCTTGCTCTGCGTTATTATTTATATTAAATGTAATTCAACGAAATTGATGCTAAGTAGTTTATATACTGTTATCCAAATTTCTTCCAAGTTTAGATCAAATCGAATTCCACGTTTTCAAACTATAGGGATATCAAATAACACATTTCCTGGTCTAAAAACAGAAGTTTTTTTTTTTTTTTTTTTGAATTGTAGTAGATAGAATTTGATAAAATTGATGCCTATTTCATTTTACGTTTACCAATCTCTGAATTCCCTCCAAATTTCAGCCAAATCGAACTTGCAGTTTTAGTGATATAGACGTATCAACGAAAACACGTTTTCCCATGTATAAGAGAAAGCAATGGGCAGAATTCAATAAAATTGACCCTACATTATTTTTTCACAAATACCTACCTTTTATTTAACTGTGAGCCGAATCGAACTAGCAGTTTCTGAAATATTGGTATATCTACAAAAATGCGTTTGCGCGTGCGTAAGCGGAAATGCTGGTTAGAATAAAATAAAATAGATATGGGAACATATAGACACCAACCCGTACAATCCCTGAAAAGTTTTTGAAAATTGGATAAACGGTAAACGCGAGTGGACATTTTTGATTCTGGGAACAACATTTTTTTTAACCTCTCGCACGAATACAATATTCCCCTATCTTCGGTATTGAGGAAGCAAAAAAAATTAAGAATCCCAGAAATATGAAAACTGATGATAAAAAAAACGTTAGTTTCAAAAATAATATTTAATATTGCAATTATATAAAATACATCTTAGAAGAAATAATGCATTATAAAGAATATGATATTGAGGAATATATTTATATATTTTATAATAAAATTACAATCATTACACTTCACTACAATTATTTTCCACAAGACTGAATATTATATTACTCAATAATAAAAAAAAATATAAAAGAACACAGGGATGTAAAAGACAAACTGTCAAGGGGGAATCAAGACATTTCTGAAAATCCTTAAAATTAAAAGGATTTCAAAATTTAAAAGAGCCCTGCTGCTGGACTTCTTTCACCCTTTAACCATCGTAAATGGCGCCCTCTGAGGAAAATCCTCAGAGCAAAGAATAAATTGTACTTAAATCTAGTATATTAAATTCTAATAATGAAATTTAACAGATTGTTCTATTCTATGTAGGTGCGCCACTGTATTTTAGTATTACAATGACCAGATAATCAAATGATGAGAGAGGGAAAGGCAATGCAGCAATGACTAATGCTTGTTTAATAAATAATGGTAAATTATTCAGAACATTAGTGAATAACAAACATTATTAAGCCTGCCCCCCTCGGCCCCTACCCAAGATTAGGATTGAGCGACTACCATCTATCATCTTTGTTTAGGTCCCATGTCAGCATTAGCATCTGTTAGCCGAGCTCTTTTAATATTCCGGTTCAATTAGTAGCTAAATATTATACAAACAATTTTAAACAAATATAAGACGATTCATATGCAGATCTGGTTTAACTGATTTTAATACATTTTTAGAAAATTAATTAGAATAGTGGATTCACATTAGCATTGTCCTATCATTTCTTATTTTTGGATTTTAAGATATTTTTTCTATGAAAACAAATTCAAATTTTAGTAGTATATATAGAGTGAGGAACAACATGTGCCACTAGAGCAGAAATTGTACACAAGTGGCATATTTCTGGATGTTGCTCTAGCTTTTGACTAGTGTTGCCCAAAATCGGTCTTGCAAGACCAAGACTAAGACTGCCTCACTGATGCAAAAATTAATAAATAAATAAAAATTAAGGTAAAATAGTTACTAATGCTTGACATTTTTAGTCACTATATGTAAAGAATTGGTATAACCAATATACTTTTGCATTTAACTCCTCTAATTTTTCATTTGGGCTTAGTTAGGTTTTGTCTATCTAAAACAATACAATATATTTATATTGTAGGTATAATATAAATAGGTAACTTATAAGCTAATAGGTAACTGCAAGACCGTTGCGAGACTCTTGCGCAAAACCAAGACTATACCAAAACTGAGTTTGAAAGACCAAGAATCGTATCTGTCACGCATTCGGACAACACTACGTTTAACAAATTTCGCTACCAGAGTCTTCTCTTTAAGCTAAAGACAATATTTCGATGTACATAAATAAGACATGAAAATCCAACTTAAGCTTCACAAAAATATAAATATAGAAAAATTAATTATGATTTTTAATTTAATTTCTTCACTAGTCCTAAGGGAGATACTTATTTTCTGAGGTATATAAGTAACCATTTTTGTTAACAGTATTTAATCTCCAAAAACAATTCTTCTCCATTACTATCGGGATCTACTTTTATATCCCATCTTCAGACAGTATCTTCATCCGATATCCTCTTAATTTTTATAAAGTTTGTCATATTATTTATTTTAATTTTTTATTGTCATATTTCATTCATTGAAATTATAATGTTGTCTCCTCTAGGTGTAAAGTGTCCTAAATTGTAATGAAAATGTTGAAAAAAGCTTTCAGATTTCCTGTTAGTTTTTTTTTAGAAGGAAACAACTAAAATAGTTAATTCTTCCAATGTTTAAGCGAAGTAATATCCAAAATAATAGTGCAATAGAAGCTATTTACATAAAAACCAGTATTTATTTAGGAAATCATTAAATCTCAATTTTATGGTAATTATTGTTTTAATTGTTGTGTATTCAGAAAGGAAATATGATTAAAAATGATATTAAATAATACATTGAACATTTCATATAATAATAAACCGAAACATAGAAAATTGAACGAATTTTGTAAAATCTTAGTTTGGTCATTTATTCTGTGATTATAGATATCACTATGAATGCCCATTAGTTTTAATTAATATTGTTATAATGGTCATTCAAAACTAATTTTAAAAAAATATTCTCTCTAATGTGGTCTTTTCCCCGGAGGTGTGATATAAGCCAGTCTACTTTAATATATGCTGAATAGAAAAATTCCACAGAAAATTGCCTGCATAACCTTTGAAAGTAATGTGTTTTTAAGCGAAATTACTACTGTGTTTACACCAAGGGAATAGCTAAAACATGGAACATGTTAGGAACAAATTTGAGAGTATATTATTATATATATATATATTATATATATATATATACGTTTCTCATATAAAATAGTTATTAAATAAATTTCACAATTATTCCCATTATTTTTACTTTTGAGATTGATTCTAAATACACTGTTCAATAGTAAAGATATATCAAATAAAATTTCTTTTAATCGTAACCAATTTGTAGACTGTTGTTACATTGTAAATGACTTTCATGAAATGTTGCATTTCTTAAAAGCGATGCTAGTGAAGAAGTAAATTTACGAGCATTCAGTTTACAGTTTACAATTGGAATTTTTATAGTGTGTTTCAAGTTTTCCTCTGTTACCAGTTCGAAAATTCCTCTGAATTCAAATTCCACAAAAATATAACTTCCTCCAAAAACTCATAACCCTAAACAATTTCGATGGAGCATCTTAGTGGAATGTAATGATGGCGTCTTGCCCACTGGAAAATAATTTTTTAACGTTTGCTTTATAAAAATATAAAAGGAATATTTGAGGAATTAATGTTTAAAGGAATATTTATTAGAATGTTTGTAATATGGAAAAGTTTTAAAAAAGTAAGGTATTGTTTTATGGATACATAAAAATCCTTTTTTTCACTTCCAAGTCATTATCTTTTTATTATCTGAATAAAATAATGCAATATTTCGTAGAGAGAAAAGAATTTTAGATTATACTAGGAGAAAGCTGTATTACTTTAATATACCAGAGAGCCGACCGTGTAATAGGAAATCTATAAATTCAATGATTACATTGAATATGTAATCATGTCCACTACAATAAGTACTCTTGATCTACCCAACCATTTTCGATGGTTATTTAGCAGAGTTCAGTTTGTCTTTTAATGGACTGAAACGTTTCAGAAAAACTTTATAGGGATGAATAATAGGTAAGACAAGTTATATCCATTGAATAAAAATATTATATGAATAATTTATTCACAAAATATATGTTAAGATTTTTGTAATGTATGTAAGTCTCGAAAGTAAAGGTAATTTTTATAAGAGTAATAGTACACCTCAAGAGCTTTAAAAAAGTTTAAACAATGGGCCAATTTTCAGCAGGAAAGTAGAAAAGTAAAGTTTTGTATTTTTTTAAGTTTTATATTTATTTTATATAAAAAATAAAGTGTTTCTCTCATGCTCCTTGTTGAATAAGAAAAAAAACAAAATAACCTGTACCAGTTTAGTATAATTTTAGGCTCAATGCTATGTGAGGAAGTACCGTTACGAGGTCAACGGTTGTACAGGGAGGTGATTAGGCCGATATTAGACTCAACCGCCAGGTTTCTCCACTTAATTAATTATTTAATTAAGAGCGCCCACTTTATAGAGGCTCGGAGTGGTCCAGGAGGATCTAACCATCCCAGGATCCGATCCACGGCTGATGAAAAATAACTACTCATCAGCCGGATTCGAACCTTGGTCCCTGAGCTCTAGAAGTCAGTGCTCACCCACTGAGGTTGAACAGGTAGGTAACTAAAGACGTATTGGTAACATGTTATAGAAGTATTGCAATTGTTAATTACTTAAATTAGATATTTCTTTAGATATCATTTCCTATTCAACAAAAAACACGACTTACTTAAAAAAACAAAGAGCTATCTTAATAGCTTTTGTTTTATCGGCATCCAAAGATCCTTGATTCATGCGGTTGAAGTTGTACATTAAAACTAGAGACCGGATTTCCATGTTATTGCACATTTTATTCGTTTGGGTGTAAAATCCCCAGACCCGAATATCTATCCGTTTCAGGATAATAACGTACGTAGAATAACGTACCTAAATTTTATATGTTATATGCTTCGAACATCATCATATCACACTTAATAAGGGGATTATGGTGTAAATGTGTTCATATATTACTATAATTATTGTCTACGAGACAGATTATTATATGTATAAATAAAAAAAATAATAGGGAAATATATATGTATATATATGGCCCAAGTTCCTTAACTCAGTGCCGAACTCATCGGCTACATCTTTTCGCCCAGTTTAGAACGATGAGTTCAGCGCTGAGTTAAGGAACTTTAAAATGTATTGTTAAAATTATAAACCTTTTGGAATTATAATACTATTACCATCTTACAAGTATTAATTCTAGCATCATTTGACTTTGAGTTAATTTCATATTATTGAATTGTTTTATTTTAAAAAATCTTTAACACATATCAACTATATGCATTTGTGTGATTTTCAATGAGCATAGATACAAGAATTTAAAATATTTAAAAAAAGTTATAATAATATTATTTATTATTGAGGGGTGGTAACACTGGCATATTGCATCGTCACTTCAATTCAGTGCCGATGCCAGAGCTGTGTACCGATGCGCTTCATTATAGTTAACCGATCACAATCATAGTATTTTAGATATAACTGCAATATATATATATACGTCTATTGCTGTTCATAAGAAGTTTACAAATCTTTAAGAAAGCAACGAGAAAGCTTCTCAGTTATTTCAAAATAAGGCAGTGACGAATTTAAAAATATTTGTTTTTAAATTAACAATGCCTCAGTGAATGTAATTATAAAACTAATAAAATATACAAAAATAATTATCAATCCTTCTATGACTTGTTAGTAGAGAGAATAAATGCAAATTAAAATATTCTTTAAGAAATCATTGTTTAAACAATGGACTGTACATGTCTGTGCCAGTTCGAAAATTGTACTTCGCCCTCAAATCATTGTCAGCTGTGAACCAATGCATTTCGCTTTAATGAAATGTATTCATTATTGCTTATTTTTATTTAATTCTTTATTCATTTTGAAAAACATTAATTGCAACGCCTAATGAATTACTATGTTTTAGCTATCAGAGAAAGAAACACAAATGTTTCTATACTTCATAGAAATTAGGTACTGATGAAAATTCCAAATAAATTAATATTTATTATTGACAGTTCGATTAACAAATTATTAATATATATATATATATATCTGTATAACTTCAAGCATTTACATGAATTCAACAATTTAACTAAACGCAACATAACCTTTAAATAAACGTTACGACAATTTAACAATTGTCTATGACGTGGAAGTAAATAATTAAAATTCTTTATTTTTCTGTACTGTACTACTTACAACATAATGAAGTACCATACTTCATTCACTTCTATTATTATTTGTCGAAGTTTCAGGTTTGTAAATATCCACATTTTTCTATTTATTTAATTGTTTCTATAAATCTGAAGTAAAACTGCATCTACAAATAAATCATCATTTTAAAACTATTTAAGAAAGGAATTGAAATGTCTTTCTGATGTTTAAGAATAAGGTTCATTTTAAAATTTTGATAAGTGTTACTGCCTATTAAAATAATGAATTATTGATATATGTATGAATAATGTTGAGAGTAAATGATAAACGATTGGGTAATTATTTAGATGAAGAAGTATAGGTCATGCGTGGTTCACAATCACTTCGATCACACTTGGAGTGCCGAATGCATCCGGGTTTACCCGAAAGACTGTTTTCGGCATTTAATGAACAAGTGTTACCGATGTGATTGTGAACCACCCGTAACCTGTGCGGTCCTCATCTAAATCATTAACGATTGTCCTGTTGTATTAAAAAATAGATAAATTTATTTTAATTTAACTCGAATAATTTGAACTTTGGACACCACGTGGTTGTAGCAATAGGAACAAGATACTTCAAAGTGTAGTTCAAGCTCCCTAAAGAAGTTTAACTTCGCCAATAAATCGAGATTATAAAATATTTATGAAAAACTAATTATAAATTCAAATATTTGAATTCTGAGTTCCAATCGACTAGTTAACTTGGAACATTGTAATATGTCTCTGTTTATTTTCAACAGATACAGTTCGCAATAATAGATACAGATACAGTTCTAATAATTAATAATAGATACAGTTCGCAGTAAAGAGTACCTGGCTTTCCAGTGATTCCTAGGAATAGAAAAAATAAATAAAACAATTGTTTAATCAATTTCCAATAAGTTTTTATTCGAAATTAATCATTTTGTGAAAAGATGGTTATATGAGATATGTTTTAGATGGGCCTATCTAAGCAACATCTAAAACAACATTTATCTATTAAGTAAAATATATATTTAACCAAGTAAAAATCACTGGTGATTTTTAAATTATAGTAAAATATTATTATTAAATAAATAACATATAAGGTTGAACAATGTAGGCTACTTAAGATAGGAATTTTAAAAAATTTATATATATATATATATATATATATATATATATATATATATATATATATATATATATATATATATATGTATGTATTTTAAACGAAAATTTTTACATAATTTGGTTTAATTTTTTTTTAGTTTAGTTTCGAATTCTGTTAATTGAGCGATGTTCTTCTACATGAACAACAATGACACGAAAATCGCTCAGTCGGTTACATCACTCCGATGATGCGATTCGAATTCACTACCTGTCGAATCGTAGAATACTTCGATCTCATCTTCCTTCGACTCTTCTGTTACAACGCAATGTCTTTTCGAGTTTGAGTGGCTTCGAGGGAAAGGGTCGGTTTGGGGAGAAGAAAATCCGGGAAAAGGAGAAAAATACTGGGATGAAGTGTTCCGGTTGGAGGCTGAGGACTTGAAGGACGTTGATGACTATGGACTCCTTCTCTGTATGGGCCGAGTACCGAAGAGTCAGATTCGGGTCCTTTCAATCATTCCGCAGGAGCGAGAGCCGCTCTCTGCTCGCGAGGGATGAGATGGATTTTAGAAGATGGCTTGCCCGGTCCTCAAGAGGGGAGATCGTTTTATTGGCCAGGAAGAGTTTTTTGCCGTCCAGTGACTTTTTTGTCTTAGAATCTTCTCGAGTTACCTCCGCAGAATATCACCCTTTGTGGTCCAGAGATACGGAACTTACGACTTAAGACTTTTGGTAGATTGAAAGAATGAAAAAGATATCAGAGAAGAAGAACGAATGAAATTTAAAATTAAGAAATTAACCTTCACAGTGGATGCAGCTTAAATAAGATATGTTGTTTATATTATACTGAATTGTATTTTATTTTATTTTGTTGTCAAACCTTCATAAGAAGTGATAAATATAAAAAATTCCAAAAGCAAAAAGCCAAGGTGTGAACGTGGGTTGGTGCAGGCGGCAGTGATGGTCACTTGTGTTACAGTTTTGGCCGTTTTAACATTCTCGAATCTAGCGGAGTCGTTTTTAATCCATCCTGGGTGGGTTGAAATTTATTTCGTAGTGTTCCCACGGAATGAATTTTGACTTTTCATCTCTGGTTAGAATAGGTTTAGTATTTCTTCTAGAAGAATAACGTAAGAGACATGTACAAAGGTATAAACAGATCACGTAAATGTGTAGGGTCCGTAACATCTGGAATTAGGGATGATAATAACAATATTCTGACCGATCCGGTTGACATATTGAATAAATTTAAGGACCACTTTGACAATATTTTAAATACGGGAAATTATGATCTGTGTCCTCCTTCTGAGTACCAGAGTGCTGAACCGTTGATAGAAGGACCGAGTAAAGAGGAAGTTGAATTAGCTATCGGAAAATTAAAATCTTATAAAGCAGCGGGAACCGACAATATTCCTACTGAACTAATTAAGACCTGCGGGGAAGCTGGAGTTTATAAAATACATCGGTTGGTTAAAAAGATCTGGGTGAATGAGAAATTACCTGAAGAATGGAAAGAATCTATTCTTATTCCGATTCACAAAGAGGGTACGAGGACGGATTGTAATAACTATCGAGGAATTTCACTCCTTCCGGTATGTTATAAAATATTTACTTTAATCTTAACCAGTCGAATCACGGAATACGCCGAGGAAATTATCGGAGACTACCAATGCGGATTTAGACGGAATCGTTCGACTATTGATCAAATATTTTCTTTACGGCAAATATTAGAGAAAAAATTGGAGTACAACGGTATTGTTCACCAGCTGCATATAGATTTTAAAAAGGCTTACGATTCTATTGACCGCCAGAAACTGTATAATATTCTAATCGAGCAGGGTATTCCTAAAAAATTAGTAAATCTAGTCAGGATGTGCTTGACGGAGACACTTAATAAAGTTAGAATCGGTAATAATCTGTCCGAAAAATTTGAGGTTCGTTCGGGTTTAAAACAGGGGGATTCCCTTTCGCCTGCACTGTTCAATTTGGCCTTAGAACATGCCATTAGGGAGATAATGCGTACCAAGAAAGGGTTGGATCTGGGTGGGACAACATCCGTGCTGGGCTATGCTCATGATTTAGTACTGTTAAGCGAAGACGTTGAAACTATAAAACTAAATACGACAACGTTAATGAATGCCGGTAAAGAACTAGGACTCGAAATAAACGTGGATAAAACAAAATATATGGTTAGCTGCAAAAATGGTGATACTACTGGTGATATCGATATAGATGGTAATATGTTTGAGCAGGTAGATAAGTTTAGATGTCTAGGTTCAACGATAACTAGAAAAAACGAAATTGAAGAAGAAATTAAGGTTAGACTGAAGGCGGGAAATGCTTGTTATTTTTCTGTGACAAAACTACTTAGTTCGCGCCTTTTGTCCCGCAACTTAAAAATTAGAATCTATAAAACAATTATCTTGCCTACAGTTCTTTATGGGTGCGAAACTTGGCCGCTTATATTAAGGGATGAGCAGCGTCTTAAGGTTTTTGAAAATAAAGTATTGCGTAGAATATTCGGACCGAAGAAGGATGAGTTAACCGGAGAGTTCAGACGGTTACACAACCCCGAATTGCGTGAACTGTATCCGAGTAATATAATTGAGATAATTTCATCGCGGCGAATCAAATTGGCTTGTAAAGTTGTTGGACTTAGTAACGAGAGAATTCCTAAAAGGTTAATATTTGCTGTGCCGAATGGTAAGCGTCCGAGGGGTAGACCGAAGCGAAGGTGGGAAGATTGCATTAAAGCTGATCTGAAGGAACTGGGTTTGGACGGCGAACGGTGGAGGGAGGTGTGGAATAAGCGATTGGTGGTGCCGGCATCGAACCTTCGGGTTCGCTAAGCCTTTTTATTATTATTATTATTATTTCTTCTAGAAGAACCTCCCACCTTTCCTCATACTATAAATTTTAAACGAAAAACAAATGGTTGGGACAGTTAAAAAAATACAATAAAAAACTGTCATAAAAGACTAAATAACAAATGAAAGTAAGGTTTCTCTATTGAAAAACATTATATAGAAACAACAATCAATGTTAAAAAAAAAAAAAAAATTAACGTTTGAATATTTTTTTCCCCTATTAGATCTCTAATTTTTCTCTGTCTTTATTTTTCAACAAAACGTCAATATTTACGTTGGTTTAATATGTATAAATGTAATGTGTAAGGTTGTTAAGTATAATGTTCTTCAATGTATAATGTTGATGAATCACAAAAGCAGGTATAAGTCGGAAATGGCTGCCATAAGGAGATTTATATTAAAATAATAAAAATGCGACTAAAAATGGATGGATTGATTTATTTTCGAATTTTAGAGAAGAAATCATTTCACTTTCTTAAAACAATCAAACTTCTGTAAATCTATTTCGCACTTCGTATTAGCAACCTATATGATGACGTGTAGAGACAAGCTGGGACTCTGAAACTATTAGTGGTGAGAAAAAAAAGCATTTAGCCAACCTTATATCAACTAATTCCGCTTTTCACCTTCTACATTCTCAATAAAACTTCATATTATCAATAATAAAGTCATATAAAAACAATAATGACCCTGGCTGTTGATAAGAAACAGGCAAAACTCATGTCAAAAATATTTTTGATGATATTGCTTTACGTGTTTTTTAGTAGTTCTAATGAAAATTAAAAAAAAAAAAAAAAAACGAGTTTCATAATATTGCCCGAAGAGGAAGTGGTTTATCATCATTGGAATCAGCAATTATTTCAAGATTAAAATATTTTTAAATATCATTCTATACATTCTTTATTTTTTATTAGATAATTGATATTTATGTTTTCCTACTGTAACATATCCCCTTCTGGTCCGAATAACAAACTAGTTCTTTTGTTGTGTGTATGTAACTCATTTGGAATGGTGGTATGTTAAGCCGTTGGTAACTTTTCACTTAATATACTTGAATTGTTTAATATGAATTATTTACAAACGAAAAATATATTAATAGATTAAGTGGCAAATTGTCTAAAATTTTAAACTTACAACCATTTCAATCGAGGTCTTCTCGAATAAACGTTTATTTTTACCCCTTATTCTAGCCGAAAGCATAGTACACAAAAAACAATTCTATAATGCTTATTAAAAAGGAAAGATCATATTTTTTCAACAGTTTTGTTTTATTATTTCCCCCCACACCTTTTATTATTTTCTCTGTGTGTGATACGGCAGTGGAAATCCCGCCAGGAGCAATGGAGCGATGCATTTTAATAAATGTATTTTAATGAAATTCTCATGAAAGAGAATTTCATGGAGTAGTGACGACCCTTAAACTCCTGCTAGAGCTTTAATAAAAATCATTTTAAATATAAGGTTTTAAGATTCAGAGTTTTTAAACCCGAATATGTACGATTTTCAAAATACTATTACGGAATACATAGCTATTACGGAATACTTTTTTTTTTTTTCGTATTTCAAACGAGCTTATGTCTGGGAGACGGACTATCACCCATGTTGTTCAACATAGCCCTGGAGAAGGTAACAAGTACAACATCACAGAAAGTGGATTTGTCCATGTCGGAATAAATCATAAAATCTTTGGATACGCAGATGATATAGCTGTCCTTGGAAGTATTCAAGGGAACATTGAGAAACTCGCTACAACACTGATAAGAGAGACAGTGCAGATAAGCCTACAAGTAAATGAATACAAAACAAAAAAATGTGATAATAAGCCGAAATTTCCAACCCAATAACAGGATCTGCATAGAAGGAAAATCATTCCCGAGAGTAACGAAATTCAAACACCTAGGCTCCACAATGAAATCAATGAATGACCAACGGGTAGAAATAGACCAGCGTATAACTTGCGCAAATAGAGCTTTCTTCTTCCTCTCAGGTATTGAAAACACGAAAAATCTCAAACTAAGGGTGTACAATGCTATGATAAAGCCAGTTCTAAAATGTGGCTGTGAGCCCTGGACACTAACTAGCAGCCTAGAAAAAAGTGTGAAAGATTTGAGAGGAAAATCCTCATCACGATAACGAGTGATCTGGGATCAGAGTACTAACACATGGAGAAGAAAGACCAATAAAGAACTGCTTACAGAAACTGGTCAATCAATTTCCCATGATATGAAGCCACGGAGGTTAAGATGGGCTCCGTTATAGAAGGCAAAAGACCACGTGGAAGGCCAAAAAGCAGATGGATAGATAGAATCAACAAACATGCAACAGAATTGCGTACAGATAAATGGAAAGAAATAGCGCAAGACAGACAGAAATAGAGCAGGCTTGTTAAGGTGGCAAAAGATGGTTTGTAATGCCAAAGGAAAAAAAATTATGAATGTCTTTAAAAATTCAAATGCAGACCAATTTCAATACACAGTTTCGTTTATTCGGCGCGAACTACGAAGAGTAGCTCAAGGCTGTTATCTCATACCATTTATATACATTAAATACACTTATGTATCATGCCATACATATCATACATGCACATACATGTCATACCATTTCCCACAATTTTATTATAAAAATTACAATATACACATATACATCCTTTTCAGCTTTTTCTTGTTCTACCGAAAGACACTTCTTCCTACC